CTGAAAACTTTGTGCTGCGTTATTTTCCCTACTAATAAAAACATCACATTCTTCTTTTCTTGGTACTTTCCTCTAACCTCTCCTGACATGATAGAGAGAAAGAAGCACCCCACAAGACTGCCCCATGAGAGTGTTCAGCACTATTTATTTCAGTCTGCTTATAAATTACACTTGCAATGGTAGTCTAAAATATATTAATAAACAAACAAACAACAGATGGGAGTAAATACATTCCAGTAAAAATAACGGGAGTAAAAGTAAATAAATGCCAACATAAATTTGTCCAGGTAGGGACTCAATAAAATCTGGGTAAAGACTAAAGGACTGGGTCTTATTATTAGACAGAGCCATCCATTAAAACCCAACGGATCATGTTAACCTGGCTACAGCTGTACAAGAATCAGAGTCCAAGTCAGATCTCAGCTGCTTGCTGAAATTAGAAGGGTGAAGGTCAAACAAGCAAAGGCAACAAACCAGACACTAGCAGCTGTAATCATATCTGGGAGCAGATTTCAGGACTATTCAGATTAAGAGTACCACAGGTCAGATTATCTGAAGCTTTTATGTTTGCACATTCTGAAAATGCCATGCATATATTCAAGCTAATTGGCAGTTAAATGTTCATTCATACCTCCCTTAATTGGGTGTGATATCAGAACCACACGCTTTGTTTTAGCCCTTTAGAATTTCAAATGGTGCAGAAGCATGAATCCTGCTGCTTCTCTTCTGAGAGAGATGGACCATTGCCTAATCATCCCATGATTACAGAATTGCACCTACTCCTCTCAACCATTTTGCTGATAATGATTTGTCTAAGACTCATTTGAAACACCATATATCTGACTAACAGCATCTAAATTAATGGCTATCCTAAGAGTGCTCTGACAGTTTTACACTAGTATGCTAGCAAAATACTCCTGCTGTTGACCTAGGGTATGTCAGCAAGGTTGTGTTGATAACCAGAACCTACAGTCGGACAGCAAATTATACCAGGAATGGAACAGTCTACCAGTAGAAACTGTACCTGCATTTAATGGCTAAGGACTCCAACAACATTGATGCTGAGGGGTGGTCAAAATTTTCATACTGCTGACTAATCATTACCTGTGAAAGCAGAAATCTAGTGTGAACCTATCCTAGATACTCAGCTTTCTACTGATGTATTTCAGGACTTTTTCTATGTTATATTACTGATACGAAATCCTGAGAATTAAAAATCTTTGAACATTACTCCACAGTAATTGCTAACCACTATTTATCTGAAGTCTGCAAGAAGAGAGATAGATCTTGGTCCACAACCAAGAGTACTCCAGTGTAGGGCTTCACAAACAACTTGCTCAAGATGAAATAAAATTTTAATTAAATGAGTAAACTGTGCCTGGCACTTTCAAGTGAAATCTTTGAACTGCCACATCTAACTACATGTTAGTTACAGTGTACATATGCCTTAGAATGCAAGAGTTTATCTTATTCTTCAGTGGAAAATAAAAGTGACTAGAAGTGCGTACTAGAGGCTCTGCACTGTGTTTGTCCTTAACTCAGACTAAAAACAAGTTGTGGGAGCACAGCCCTCTACCTTTTCATTCCTATTCTTACTTTATGACCTGTTGTATAGAAATTTCTAGGTAAAGATGGTGTCACTTTGTGAAAAACTTGTAACCACAAGATTACAAGAAAATGTTATGACATTGTAGGTCACATTAATGATATGCATAAAATACTACTTTTCAATAACAGGAAAACAATACTTGAAAATAAACATTAAAAAACAGGAAGTTCGGAGACTTAGGTGAAATTTCTAGAATATGACATCCATAATACTTCAATTCTGCCCAAAGAGAAGCCTGCCTAACATCTTCATAGCTTTATGCTTGGGTCATAAAAAAACCTCAGCAAAGGTCACTTCAAATTTATTTCTTGCATAATTTTTACTAACTTACATTCTCTCTTTTCCTATTTAAATTGAAGACAGCTCATATAGGTATAGGGTTTTGTTACATACTTTTTTTTTTTAGTTACAGAATAATCTTCTAGCATTTGTTTCTGATTTATTGTGTTAATACAAGTGTATTAAAAATAAGGAATCGACACTGAATTAATTGCTTATATTAGTAATTCATTTGGGAAGCAAAGTACCTAATGTAACAAATGTAAGGATAAAACCCCCAAATTTGTTAAAAGTACAGTAGTTCTTACAGTACATATTATTTTACTGACAACAAATAAGAGTTGATAGCTAGTCTGAGTACTTCAGCTCTAAGGCAAATCTAAACAGCCACTAAAGTTTGGATTAGGAAGAAGATTAAATGCTTGGTGTTGGCTTTATTTGTTTATTAAATCAGTACAACCTTGTTAAAACTGAATTGTGAATCCCATTCTTACGGTCACCCATCCATTGTGAATGCCCCAGTCCATCGATCCTTAAGCCTGGAGAGAATCATTTTATCTAAGCCTGGACTCACAGCCAGATTTAAATGCCTTGTCTGGCAGCACCCGTCTCAATTTCCAGATCAGCATCCAAGATCTCCTAAGTGTTCCTTGCAACTCTGTCATTTTCACTGTAATTCTTCTGAGCTGGTTTCAGAGGCTATGGACATTCAAGGCTCTAACTCCCCTAGGACAACACTGCAGGGAGACAAGGAACACAGGTGTAGGAGAGAAATTTCCTACCCACATACTATTACACCAGAAGTACTTGAGAGCTCTTCAGTCTTTGTACGTTTTCCTCCCACACCTTGTGAATCTGGAATTTGGCATACTTCACCATAATCTTACTTACCGCTTTCCCATCCCCTCATCCTCCTGCATCTTTCCTGCGTGACTGGCAGGCCATGCCAGGCCCTCTGCTGTGCCCAGCAAGGCCCCGTCACACATGCACAGCCCCTGCAGAGAAACCCGTCCCTCCACGCAGACTGGTCCAAGCCGCCCGCCTTTAATTTGCTCTATAGAAAATTCATTGGAGATTTTCAAAACTGAGAAGAATGATACTTTTAGCTGGTTTGAGTAACCAAGAATAGTCAGCTGAAGACCCTAAATTAGCCTTGATCAGTTAAAAGTCATCTTTCAGTTGTCACGCACCTTCTCTGAGTGGGGCAGGCATCTGGAAAACACTTTGTAGCCACCTACACTTCAGACACGCAAGGCACATAATGCAGATTCAAAACGGCCAGATATATCCCACTTCGCTACTGACTTTCCAGACATACCCCATCTCTTGGAAATATGAAAGAATATTAAATTACAAAGACATTTTGCACGGAAGGATTTCCTGAGTTGGCTGACAAGGGCTCCTTTAGTCTGCATATTCAAGTTTCTCCTGAAGATTTATAACTAAATTAATGTTTGAGAAACCCTACTGCCAACGAGGAAGAAAAATCTGGACGTCGATGCGTGGATGCTTGCTTTTCCCCCCATCTGTCAGAAGGGCTGTTTACCTGCCACAGCACCCTCCATGCCGCCCCACGCACCGTTTCCCCCCGTTTTCTTATTTATCACGCCGACCAGGCCTCACCACCGTCACCAGCTGCCGGAGGGACCGGCCAGACGAGACTGAGCAGCCCGGCTCCGTGAGGAAGCACAAATATGTCTCTCCCCCTCCCGCACACGGCGCTGCCGCCCTGCAGCCGGGAACCCGC